CATACTTTCGGGTCTAGTAAAATACTTGGGGAGGCAACTAAAAAGTGTAATACACCTAATTATTTGTTAAAGCATAACATCTTCAATCACAGAGGCCATAATTTATTTTCAGACACAGTCAGAGGTCTCTCACACCAGGTGTGGTCCTAGACCATTTAGACTTTTCATCACTAACTTATATATACACAGGTAATTTTAAAAAGGAATTACAGCTTAACTTCTTACTACAGAATATTTAGCTTCAGCAAGGAAGCCATTATCTTTCCAAAATGAGATAGACACCTGCAGGAAAGGTGTTCTCTTTAAAGTAAGAGCTTTCACAAGAATAGTAAAATAAGTCTTTTACATACTTAATTCAAATAGGACAAAAAACTACCAAGGGCAAGTATAACATAGCTTTTGTATAATTAAGTCATCATTTGCTGTTCCAAGCAGAATCAAGAACATATTCATCAGTATTAACTGATTTTAATGAACAAAGACTAGGCAAGGGTGCTGGTCAGTGCATCAATTAGAGGAACATTACAGTGTTCTCAGATAGAATTCTGTGCAACCAAAATTTAAAGGGATCTTAATGTATTGCCTTAAACAAGGATTCAATCTTTTCTTACAACTTGCTATTTTTTACAAATGTCTTCCCTACTGAAACAAAGTAACATGCAGAAAAAAAACCCAGATTTTTTTCAGATTTAAACCTAATAAATTAAGTTAAAAGACAGATGAAAAAAATGTTAACATACTTTCATTTTGAAGGAAGGTGCACCTTGCTCTGCTTGCCCAGTGAAATGAGAGGTTTTATTGGGGCAGGGATGAGAAAGTGTGCTTATGCATTGGGGTTGTCCATGCATCAAATTTCATAGCTCAGATTAAAAAAACCTACTAATTCATGAAGTATTTGGTAACATTGCTTAGAATTTAAAAACAGGTATATCTCTTAATGAAAGCCTATAGTTTGTCCAACTACTATTACCAGTAACATAAATAGCAACTAAGCATAATAAATTCCTTTCAAATATATTTACCTTTTGAAGTCAGAAGTGTAACAATCAAGTGCTGGCTCTGTGTTCTCAATAAAAATCATTAAAAAGAGAGGACGGTCAATGACTTTATTTTTGCCCTGCTCAGGATTACATTTCCTTTTATCTATTCGATGACAGGATCAATTCTGCTTTCAGAGAAGCAAATTGTTCATGCTGACACAAATATAAGTTGGATACAGCCACAGTTTCTAGCACAGAACTGAATCACTAAGTGCATTCTGAAGACCAGATCAGACAAAAGGCTTTCAGTAATTAAGGAAGGGTGGAGTTTTTTGTTTTTTCTTTTTTAATTTTAAAGCAAAGTAGGCACCATTGTTGCATCCCTACTTTGAGAAGGGAAGAAGTGGCAAAAAGTAAAGACAAATTACAAAAGTCCTCAAATATTTTTTTTTCCAGGAGATCCACCATCATTTATACACTTTTGCAACTTGTAAAACCCTTTGTAATTTAGAAGAATTTCAAATAAATAGATCTACAGCAACTAGCAACTACTAAGTCAATACTTATCTTGCTCTATGTGGAGTAAAACTTAAAAGAAAAAAAAAATCATGTTAAGGCAGATTTCAATCAAACACGTTCCAAATTGCACAGTTACGTTGGTCAGTGGTCTAAAATGTTTTCTCCAGGTCAAAGTTATTTAATTGCTTGTCTAATGCCAATTCAACATGGCACTTGACCATTTTATTTGCTCTGTTTCCAAGAAGATACACAACTAACATTACATATACCATACTGTATATTTTGCACTCCAATTTAAGATGAAATTATGCTTTTACAAAATGTGAGATGACTACATGTTACAGGCTTTGTGCAGTTAGACCACCATATGCATAGATGTCCTAATGCTAAATTCTCTTCTTCAGTATCTCATAGTACTGGAGGCTCTGAAGTAGGAGAGGAACTTGTAACACAGACTAACCACAAAGTACCAGATATTTCTTGCCATTTGTGATCTTGCAATAAAGATACGCCAGATCAGGATCACAAGAATTGTGTTGAAGCCATAGCGTATATTCCTTAACCTAAGGAAAAACAAAAGAAATAATTAAAAGCCAAGGTATTTACAGCAAATAAGAACACTCTAAAAATTAACTTCTAATGTAGAATTTAATTTCTTCATCTATTCATCTCAAGATATGAGTGGTATTAAGTAAATGATGGAAATAAGCTGATAAGTGAAAGACCAGAGAAGGCTTTTCCATAGTTCACTGCTGAGAAGTAGAACACATGAAAACTAAGGAACAGAGCCAGCCCTGTAGCTAACCACATGTATTTCTGTTTTATAGCTGCTTGATAAAAACCTCTTAAAGCCAAGGGCACACACACAATAACTTACCTATAGAAGGCTGCCAGCCACCCCAAAAACCAAGAAAATATTTAACACTATGAACTCCCCTTATCCCCTCCATGTATTTAAAACTAAAAATATGTAGAACTCCAGCTGCTGCTAGAAAAAAACCAAACGAACAACTACATCATAGTATTTTCCAGCCACAGAGACCAGAGTCTTCACTGCAATTTTAAACTCATTCCTTCTCAGAGAATTATATTTCAAGATTAGGAGAAATTAAGTGTCCTTTTAGGGCAACTGCAACTTTCAGCAATCTTCTCACATGTAAAGATGGAAGCTTCAAGACAAACAGTAACTAGATTTTGCTCAGATTTCTTAGAAAGAGAACA